CCAAAGGTTCCTAAGAAGAAGTTGCATATGCTCTAACCGGCTGATATTGCAGCTTATATAAATGTATATGTACAAGTCAAAATTAAATAGTAGAAAAATAAGTAATAAAAAAACCTCAGCTATATAACTGAAGCGTAAATGAAGTGAAGCAGAAATATGTGACACACCGTTTGTGTCGCGTATTTGTGACGGTCGGCGTTCAGGGGATATCAAATTGTAGGAACACATCGCTTTAGTGTACCTCATCGACCTTCCTGTGATTATCTCTAATGAAAAAAGTGAAAGTTGCCTAAAAAAATACAATTATTACAAATATATACTTAATTTGTACTTCACTGCATTTATGCTTCAATTATATAGCTGATACTTGTTTTATTACTGATTTTTCTTCTATTTTATTTTGACTTGTACATATACATTTATATAATTATGTCTTACTTGAATTTTTTTTTAATAATTTAGAATTTATTATTATTTATATTTTTTACTCTTTGTTATTATATTATATTGTGATGTGTCCAAATAATTTCCCTTGTGGATCAATAAAGTTTGTGTCTAATTTATGTAATTCCACTTTCTACAACTTGATTAAACGGCATTTTAATTCACTGAAATGTTCCACGGGTTTCAGAATAATGAAAAATTACAACTGTTGTCATAGCGATTGACAATTCAAGATTAAATATAAAAATAAATCCTCAAACTGTCAAATATAACAGGATTGAGAGATGCACGTGGAAGCTGTTTTCATGTTTTTGTCATGTTTTACGAACTATGGATATTTACAGGTATGATTTTTTTTGCATTATCTTGTTTTTAATATGCATTTGTTTCTATTTCTATAATAAATAAACGTTCCTTACTGTATTCAACATATCTGTACATGTAATACTCGCCTCTCCCCCGTATGCACCAGTTAGTGTAATACCGAAAGCTCCATTAAAACCTGTTATCTCAAATCGCCGACATAAACCTCTCCGCGGTGCGTCCTCGACACCATTTTCCACAGTAATAATGCACAATCCTGCATGGGGAGGAGCAGCGTGGAGCTAACACAGGCTCCTCGCACAGTGTCAGAGGAACAATTAGACCAGATCAATGTAATGTGCGACTCCCCACTGCCTGATGCACTGCTGTAATGAGGAAATTAACACCAACAGTCAGGCCTGGGGTGAGAATATAACGGAAAACACAACGTAGACAGCAACAGAACAGAAGACTACGGAAGATAATGAGCTGTACAGTGTAATAGTGTTAACTCTGTGCTGGAAATGTCATGCATTAATTACTCCGGCGGGTCAGATATGCAGAAACTGGTAGTGTTAATTAAAAAGGTCCAGTATTACACAAAACTGACTCTCGTGAGCTTTTAGACGCATTGGAACGTCGTTATCTGCTCGAAAACGTACCTGGAGTTGAGTTTTGTTTCATTTGCGCATGTTTGAGTAATCCGTGTTTGCGTGTCCAAAGCTCAAAACGCTCTGTTCCTCCTTGTGATGTCATGTAGTGGTGGTTTTCAAGTTGTTGCAGGACCAAGCAGGACTAAACCATGAAAAAAAGCCTGTCTTATAGTCTGAAAAACACGGTACAAAAATCTCAAAATACATTAGCACACTAGAGAAAGGATTCCTTGTTTTTTACATCACAATTTCTAAAACTAATTGCTAAATTCAAATCTTTAATTCAGCTGTATTACATTTCCAGACTAAAATCAAAACAACTGAACCAATCCCTGCACAGCTCCTTTTAGCTTTATGTATTATTAGAGTTCATTTTTTCATGAAACCAAGAGTTTGTTTCATAGGATTTGTGCGTTAAACTTGTGTGAATGAAACAAAACACAACTCCAGGTCTAAAAATGACAATATTGGAGTGCTGCACTGGATCAAAACTTACGCATACAGGTGCTCATCAGTAGAATGATTCATCAGCTGATTTCACTTCATGGAAACTGTCTGACCTCACAGCATTAGGATTCGTTCGCTCGACAGTAGACAGGTACTTTTTTTTAATTTAACCAAGCGCTGCTGTTTAGTCGTGACGTATGTAATGCGCCAAATCCCGTAGGAAGAAGAGCAATAACGTCTTTCCCCTTGATAAAATTCACCAAACATTCTCTTTGTTGCGGCTTTAAATCCTCGATCTCGGGAATCGTTGCCAACACAGAATGTCTGTCTTCGTCTACATCAGGGGTGTCCAAACTTTTTTCATCAAGGGCCACACATCTAAACACAGACGAAGCAGAGGGCCGATCGAGGGCCATAGACTGGTGATGAATACAGTGAATAATTAAAATATGTGCATCTTTAACACGTTAAAATAACCTTTTATTCACGCTAAGATCCTTAAAACCACACACAAAATATTAAATATTGGCTTTATCAAGGAAGATTTTCAAAAAAACTTGCAGTAAAAAGTTAATTTTTAATTGATGCAAGGTAATCTGGGCCAATTCACCGGGAAGCCTGAGGGCCAAGAAAAATTTGTCTGAGGGCCGCATTTGGCCCAGTGGCCATACTTTGGACATGCCTGGTCTACGTCCATCTCAACCGCTTTTTTACTGTTGTGCTGTTCCACAAAAGTGACCCAGACAGATGCTTGAGTTTGACATCATGGTTTCACAGCTCTTCACTGATTGGCCGGTGTACGTTCTCCAACTTCTGGGGTTCTTGCAAACCGTCTAGTGTATTCTGATTCCTGACCTAGTCGCTGGAGAGAAATGAAATTGAGCGGTTTCACTAGGTGGCGTCAGCTTGGTTAGCTCATCAGACCAGAGGACTTGAATTCTTATTGCGTAGAAAAAGGATGGCAGAGGCATTCTGATTTGCAGTGTATATATTAATGGTCTTGCCAACACGTTTCGACTACTTACGAGTCTTCATCAGGGACAACTCCAGGTCTGTTTGTGATGAGGAAACAACATTATAACATAGATCCGAAAATAGCCGAATATGGGCCCTTTAAGATAGATGCTGAAACCATTATACTTACACAATTGCACTTAAAATTTGGGAGTAAATAAGAAATTTTATCTGGACTAAACCAGGACTACACAAGGACCAAACCAAGTCTACATCAGGAAGTGTGAACGCAGCTAAATATATGACATTATAACACTCCAATCAAAAAGGTTATAGCAGATAATGAGCAGTACAGTGTATAATAGTGTTAACAGTGCGGTAGAAAATGTCATAAATTAATTACTCAAGAGGGAAGGATATGAAGAAATGTGTTAATTAAGATGCATAGTATATAGATACAGAAACCGTCATACATACACACTTACGGATCAAAAAGGTCTGAACTAAACCAGGACTAGAACAGGACAAGAACAGGACCAAACCAAGGACTAACTAACAAAGTGTGAGCGCAGTCAAATATGTAACAATAATGAGCAGTGCAGTGTATAATAGGGTTAACTATGTGGTCGAAATGTCATAAAATAATTACTCAAGAGGGTCAGATATGAAGAAATGGTTGTGCTAATTAAGTTGAAAAATAAGCAGATACTGAAACCATTATACATACACACCTCCCCATCAAATCTGGTATTAAACTCAGAACTAAAGTTGGACTAGACCAGAACTATAACAGGACTAAGATCGCCCTGGTAGCCTTTAGTTTTCCCTTGAGTACTTTTATTGGCTAATTGGGGTTTTGGGATTTGTACTTGTACTATCTAATGCCCATGTTCTAACAATCTAATGTGACTAGATCTTAAAAAAAGGCGCACATTTCTTTGAATAAACAGAACATAAGCATGATTTAGGTTTTGATAAAAGGGTATTTGACTTTTTTTTTTTTTATTCTATGTAACATGGTAAAATCCCTTAGTGATTAACAGGAACATGGAAAGACACAAACCTCTTTTTTTTTCCTCCCAAAAGTCTCACCGGGGGACGACAGCTGGGGTGATAATTTGTGCTCATTTGCCTGAATTTTGTTTGTGCAAAAACCCCTGAGCAGGTTTAATAGTGAAGAACTCGCAAGTTGTTTTTGTAGCCCAAGCTGAAGTGAAGCAGGCCTCTTTTTTAGGGGAGGTGTTGACAACTGAAGCGGCGAGTGGTGTTAGGAGCCTCGGCCTGAGAAGCACTTTCCAAGAGAAGAACCAAGTGCGCAGAGGACGACCTGCTCAGAACAATATATAACCAACCAAATGGATTTGTGCTTCTGTCAGGATGCTTTGCACCACCTCGGAACCAGCCAGAGTCCTTGAGCACGAAGGACAGGTGCTACAGGTACTTGTAGTTCACTGCGCATTCTCGCTTTCCCCGCATGGATCCAGTGCGCAGAGGACAGCACGAACTTGCTCGGATCCAGTCCACTGGAACCAGCACATGGAGGACAGATCCTCTGGGTTTATCTGACCCTTATGTGGGACTTGAGAGTGAGAGGGAGAACCCCGAGCCCAAGGAGCAGGGTGTCCGCAAAGTGCCATCAGGCAATGGCTGCGCTGATCCCCTGCCTCCTCCGATTGAAAGACAGCGCCAAAAACCTGTATAAATCAGCTGAACGGACATGTCACAGCAACATCAAAACAAACTCTTGTTCTGAATGAATAACCTAATAACATAGGTAAACCTGGTTCAATAATTTAGTCAATAATTTTCAGTTATTGACTAAACCCAAGAATTTTTCATTTTAACAACCAAACCAAACTAAAAAAGTATCTAAACAACCATAGATATGTTACTAGGCCTGCCAAATGTCAGATGTTTGGGTCTGGAACTGCATCTTGTCTCCCGGATTTCCAATGGGCGTGATTGATATGCGGATAAACCAATCAGAGAGATGCACAGTCTGTCGGTATCAAAACAAACATGGCAGCTTACGAGTATTTCATAGAGATCAAAATCCAACAGTAGCTCTCTAGTTCTTTAGTCTTACCAAATGGTAAAATCTCTTTCCAGGCAAACATTTACAAAGCGTCATTTTAAGAGGCCCCATTGGCAAACAGCACAGTAAAGCAGGTTTATTTATCATGTACAGTTGAATACAAAAACACTGAGAGATACAGATATTTTATAAAAAACTAAACATAAATAACAGATTCAGTTCAGTACAAATGTTTTGGTCCCATTGTTCAGCCTCAGATGTGACGAGTGACGAGTAAAGCGTGAGAGATGTACTGCGTTAAAAGTGTAATACAGGCGTACTGCAGAAATGTGTAGTAAGAAAATTCAGATGGATCATTATTTGGACAACAACCTTATTTGAAATACATTCTATGACTTATTTGGAGACAATGATTGCTTCTAAAACAGAGAACTGTTTTTTTTGGGGTTTTTTTTAATAACAATACAGCAATTTACCAACCATACAAGCTATAGCCTCAACAAGTTCTAGGATAGCATAGGATTTTGTTCATTTTTGATTAAAAAAAGAGTTAACTTGGCTTTAGATCATTCAAATATATGGACCAAAAAGAGAAAAAGAAAAGTCAGATTTGATTTAAAGGTCTTATATTGCGCAAAAATGACTCTTGGGAGATTTTAGTCATGTTACAATGTTGTTATCTCATCAAAAACATACCTGGAGTTGTTTTGTTTCATTCACAAATGCATTTCCAGAGCTGAAATTATCGAAATGATTCAAGCGAAGGTGTATGGAGCACTTCCTGCATTGAGTACTTCTGTTTGAGAGAAGAACTCAGCCTAAATGTGCAGGATTTGTGTGTTAAACATGCGTAAATGGAACAAAACACAACTCCAGGTCTGTTTTTGACGCAGAAACATTATAAGATAGATAAAAAATAGCATAACATGGGCCCTTTAAATTATTAATAACATACTAAATTGCATAATATAGGAGATTCAATTAAAATAGCTAGACGGAGTGGTATTAAAAAGTCGCTAAAATGAAACACTTTTTGGGTATTGATCTCGTGGCTCACATTGAAAACCGTAGAAATGAAAGGTAAACTCGAAAACAGTAGCATGTTTAAAACTTACAATATGAGGTAAAAATGAGTACAATGTAATAATAACAATAATAAATGTCTATAGATTCAACCAAGTTCATTTAAAAGTCCAATAGAGAAAAATTCAGTCTTGTATTTTCCATTCAAAACCACATTATCCACGAGTTTTTCAGTCTTAATCCTCATAGTTGCTGGATTAAGGACATCACTGGGTTGTGTGTAATGTAATAAAAGTGGTCTATAGTTTGTAATGTGCTTAAATGTTATGGTATCTGTAGTGGTAGGTCCTCCTCTTCTTCGTCTAAGTCACTGGACGGACCATCTGGGTTTTCGGAGCCAAAGCGTCGGATTTTTCCAAAAAGTCCTGGAGTTTGCTGCTGTCGCCTCAGTCTGGAAAATACAAAGAAAAGAGAAGAAAAAGGGTAAGAAGGATTGTATTGAAGTATCACAAATTGGATATTACTGTTACTAAAATTCATATTGAAACTTTAAACTCATTTCAGCAGATACTGACACTAAAGTCACATTCATCAGACAGAAATGAACCCTTCCTCAATATGTTTTGAATGATCTTTAACTGTATAAGACCTAGGGATGAAACGATATCCAAATCTCACAGTACGATATTTTCACGATATACATCTCACGTTACAGTATTTATTGCGATATAAATGATTTTTGCAACAGCAAATAATTTCCAACACTGAATATCAATAGGTCACCAGGACTAAACCAGGACTAAAACCAGGACTAATCTTGGACTTGAGAGAGGGAGAAGCCCAAGCCGGCGGAGCCGGGTGTCCACAAAGCGGGCGACAGCTGAGCTTAGCTCCGTGGGGCGCAGAGCTCTGCGCTGGTTCTTTTGCCTGTGGGCACCCGACAGTCTACGCAGGCGCACCTTCGGGCCTGTCCAGACACTCAGTCCTGGTTTAGTCCTGGTTTAGTCCTGGTTTAGTCCTGGTTTAGTCCTCTTGGTTCAGTCTTGGGATCAGTCCTGGTTTAGTCCGTGTGTTGCACCTCCCCAGTGGCTCTTTGGCATCACCTATTGAAAACCGCTGGTTTAGACATTTTAAACAGCCTGTACCTCATGTTTCCCCAAGAATTTGAGCAAAACTTGTCCTGCCTCAGTACAGATTTATTGTATAAGCAGCTCTTGAGATCAAAATAAGTCCAAGAATAGAGGGAGTGTGGTTTGCATGCTAGTTGTTGACTGCTCTGATCTCTAAAAGTCATAAAAAGAGCTTATATTGTAATCGTGGTGAATAATTACAATGCTATGAACGCATAAGGTAACTGAGGAATAATATTGGACCACTACAAATTGTTCATGTTTTTAAGAATCACAATGATGTCACAAGGTGGAACAGAGCAAAAGAAACAAGAAATACAAAGGTTAAATTTTTTTGAAAGCAGATTTAATACAGGCCTTTTAAGATCATGTTCAAAGTATGACAAAAATAACTCAATAACAAAAGTGTGTGGTCAGCAGCAGAGTCCAGGCTGTGTGAAGCGGCTGAGATGCACTTTTCTGGGTCAAAGAGCTCCAGGTCTCTCCCTTAAAAAAATATCTGCTCCATGGATCAATATAAAACGGTACGACTTCATGAACTTTATCTATGAAGGGAAACTACTTGGTCACAGCGGCTATAAACATGATTTGCTGAACAATTTGCGAAACTATCGATTTTTTTTTCTGACAAGCATTGCAATTGCTTTTAAATTAGTGATTTATGTTTTACTAATAGGATTCTGCTCAAAGTTAAAGGTGCACGATGTAACTTTTCGCTTGGGGGTTTATTTGGATTGATGGAGATATGATTGCTTTGCTTCAAATGTTCCTCAATATGATATACATATATTTTTTTTATGGCTTGGGTGTTTCCTGCGACTTAGACTCCAGTGCGACTTATATTAAAATGTTCACACTGACAGCCACGAGAGGCTCTAGGCTTGTGTGTCAGTATCTGCTGCTATTACTCCTGTACCACTGTCACTTCACTCTACTGTGCATGTCTCCTGCAGAAAAAGCCCGCTGTCCTGCTGCAATTAGTGAAATATGCAGCAGAAAAAAGTAATTGAGCAGCAGAAAGAAAGTGTGGAGTGAGTGAGAAACTTGTGAGGGACTGGCGGAAAGCGGGGATGGAGAACACAGCTTCACAGTAACCGAGTGTGACATGCAACTTCCATCGACAAAGTCTGGACTTCAGTGACACCGAAACCATCCTGTCGGGATTCAGAAAGGCCGGAATAATTCTAAATGGAACTGATGCTGACTCTGACGACAGCTACACAGAAGAGGAAGCGGCGCTCTGTTTACCTCCGCAGATCACGGAGTTGCTCAGAAGTAACACCAAGGATGAAGAATGAAATGGATTTAGTGATTTGGAGTGAGATGAAGAGTTTGTTAAACGTGTTCTGTTCTGTTGTTTATGTTATAGTTTATCTGAAGAACTGTTCATATGTGACGTTAACAGTCTGTTGTTCTCTGTTCTATTGTTTTTACTAGAACTTGACTTTCAAGATGAAATGTCGGTTCCTGGTCTCTGATTTTATAAAATAAATTTCCCCCAAACTTATAGTCCGGAGTGATATATATATATTTTTTTCTTCTTCATTATGCATTTTTGGCTGCTGTGACTTATACTCTGCAGCTACTTATAGTCTGAAAAATACAGTATAATACATCTAACTTGCATTTATTCAATTACAGGTGGTTTTATTGTTCAAAAATACCTAAAAAAACAGCCATTCTGACTGCGCCTCTCCACAGATTTGACCCGTAACTTTGCCTGGTTTGGTCTCTATAATGATAGAACAGTTTAATGCCATATTGTGTAACATTTCAGACAAAGCAATAACATCTCCATGGAGAAAAGCAGGTAGCTGATCCTCCACCAGAAAAGTTACACAATGCACCTTTAACATTTTAAACGTGTCCAGAAGAAGCAAAAACACTGAATACGAAACACTGAAACTAATACAAGAATCATGTTTGTACAGATCTAAACTACAGGGTTTGCAGGTTTTTATGCAGAAGAAAGCAAATATTTTTGGTTTTGTGGAGAAAAACTATGCTACTTCAAAAACAGCAGCCTTTGCGATTTTCCTAATTGTGTCCATTCAAATTTGATTATCTTGCAACCCGAATAAATACCAATAAAATGTGAATAAAATATGTAAAAAAAATTGTAATGAAAACAAAGCAAGTTAAATATGGGTTTTGGTACTGACTGCATAATATGTGTCTTAAACTTAGACAAATGGAGAAACTATTTGGACATCGTAATCAAACTGAAATCGCTTTTTGAGTTGGTGCAATTATCAAATCACAAATTCTCTACAAACATGTTCTGAAATGCTTAAGATTCTTGTATTAGTTTGTTGTTTGTTGGTTCATATTTCAGTCTTCTCTCAAATATTAATACTCCTGAAGTTGTTTACAATGTGGACTTCTTACTTTTTGAACACAAACTGTATCTTGTCAGAAAAGGTGTAGTTTGTAGTGTCATTGCTTTGTCTGGAATGTTCTACAGCAGAGGGGGTGGGTCACGAAATCTTTGGTTGATTAGACTTTTTTCAAGGATGAGGATGAACTGGTTTTCAGTGGGTTCTGTCTGTTCGCTCCTTCATCAAGTCTGTCTCTCTCTCTTCATTCCCTCGTCTCTCGCTTCCTGTCAAAATGCAAACACGTCGGCGAGGATTTTATAGTTTCTTATTAGAGTACATGTGAAGAGTTCCATTACAGCTTTACTTTTACGCACAGCGGAACTTAAGCTCCGCACGTACTACTGCGCGTCGGGAAGAGGTCAGGCAACTTCATTTCACAGCTCACATTAACCAGGCTCCGGAGTTCGCAGACCGCCTCCTCTCTGTCCACAGAGCGACTGGGAGAGGAGGGAGGAGTCATGTCTTTCCTCTCGCTTCTCAGTTCAAAATGAGTGGAAGGCTACGTTCAGACTGCAGGCCTTAACGCTTAATTCAGATTTTTTTTGTGAAATCCGATACTTTTGCGAGGTCGTTCACATTTCCAATTAAATGTGACTTGTATGTGACTCCAGTGTGAACATTAAACGACCCGAAAGTGTCCCGCATGTGCACTGGAGACACGACGACGTCAACCGCAGCGAGCGTGCTCTGTGTTTACGGAAGTTGTCCAAACATGGACGCGAGCATTGAGCACCTGGAGATTTTAAAGTTCCTCTTGTACCGGAGCCAGAACATGAACAACTTACTTGTTTTAAGGAGGAGATTGAGAAGGAGAAGGACGAGGTGTTTGGTCGTGGTGTTTTGTGGGGCAGCGGCAGCGACGTCTGTTGAAAGGAACGTGTGGATGTGGAGACGTAGCCAAGAGTGGTGAGTGGTGATGTGCTTCACTTCAGTGACACGGAGTTCATTAACAATTTTCACCTACTTCAGTGCAGAATAGTGACGTTTGTGGCTTGTTGATAACGTGTAGGTCAGATGGATGCACTTTGGCCGTTCAGACTGAAGTCACATGTCAAAAGATCAGATATGTATCGGTTTCAGGACCACATATCCAAGTGGCCTGGGTCGCATTTGAAAAAATCGGATCTGTGTCGTTCAGACTGTCATTAAAACATCGGATACAGGTCACATAGAGGCCAAAAAATTGGATTTGAGTCACTTCAGGCTGCAGTCTGAACGCAGCCGAAAAGTTCTGTGGCCTAAATCAAACTCTGCGGGTGTGTGCTGTGGCTCCTCTCTTATTTAATCAATCATTTGTGTATCCATCAAGTGTGGAGTGAATGAATAATGAACTGTAAAGTGCTTTGGGTGTCTTGAAAGGCGCTATACAAATGCAACGATTAATTAAAATTTTTTTTTTTTTAAAAAGTCACACATTGAGCCCATTTTCCGTGATGTCGTTGCTTCATTGCTCTGACCTTCTCAGAGTCACCACGAGCGCACAAAACGCAGCTTAAACTTCAGACCTGAATTAGCTTTCGTCAAACTCAGGCTTATTTCTGTCATGGAACGACGTGAGGCTTAAACTGGAGATGGAGCTAAATTCAGATCAGAATTTCAGGATAAGCCTGGTCTTGTTAAGCGACTTTGATGGAACATTCCCCTAGTATTGAATGTACAATAACAGAGTACCTATTAGGGATGTAACAATACCCAAATCTCACGGTACGATATTTATTGAGATATTTTGTGGAGACTACCAAAACTGTGAATATGATCCTTTGTCCTCGTAAAACGCCTTGACAAGACTTAATCCAAAAAACTAAGATTTAAAAGTGCTTAAAACTGTTATTTCTTCATGTAGTTTGCACCAAAATGGAGCAAAGGATCATGGTCTATGTAGTTCCCTCTGTTTATTTAGCTACTACTGCACCATAACAATGAATTTAAGCAAACAAACTTGT